TACATTCCCAGGAGCTTGTTGGGTCCCTAGCTGTTATCCTTCAATAAACACTCTTTGCCTGTAGAAGATGGAGTCTGGCTTGGTTCCCTTTTCCTTTCTCCTCCATTGTCCTAACTCCCTGCTCTCCCCAATTTGACAAGAAGGGTTCATGTGGGGTGCCCTTTAAGCTCCAGAGCTAGGACCATGCTAGTCTTGTCTGAAGACCACATTCTTGCCGAGTTCTTTCCCTGCCCTGTCTTGATGCCCTCTCTCCTTTTCTCCAGAAAATGCTTCATGTTCATTTCAGGCTCTTCCAGGGACTCTCGCCTCCTGTAATGGGCTATGCTGTATGCTGAATGAATTGTGGAGCTAAGGGTAATGTAGCACCATCTTCTATCTGGCTGTGCAGAGGGAAGTTAAGGCCTTGTTGGAGCTCTTTTTCCTGCTACTGCATATTCCAGGCTTCCCCCATCCCACCCCACCACTCCAGGCACATGCAGGCGTAGACACATCCTTCTAACACCTTCTGCTAATGAGCTGCTCCCCACCGGGAGTGGATTTGGAGAGATTCTGTCCAACATTTAAATTTCATGATGGACTTTTTTTGTTTCAAGTAAGACCTAGAGAGGGGACACCTCTGCCTCATTCTACAATGACACAGAGCGGTGTCTGGTGGTCCCTTGGTATTTGCTCCTGATCTGGTCTGACCCTGGGAACTTCCAGGGCTCTGTGATGGAGAGCCAGCAGGGACCCCATTTGACAAGTTTGCCAGGTTTGGGCGGGACCAGCAGCCACACTGCCACATTTTAGCAGCAGCCACAATTTATCTTGGCAAGGTGAACTTCTAGGCTCAGCTCCAAAGAGGGGTCTGGGGAATGGCCCAGACCAACTGGCTTTTACCACAGAAGCCGATGCTGGCTGGACTTGAGCAAGTGCCAGCCCCAAAGTGGTAGCATCTTCTTCCCCCATCCACCTGAAGAAGGACTCACCCCATTCTGGGTGAGCGCGTGGGTGCATGAAGGTTTGGGGTGCAGTTCGTGGATGGAGTCTCAAGGGAGGTACATAAGGGAAGAGAATCAGAGCAGAGGGCTTTGCTGCTCCTCACTGGTCCCAAGGCAAGCCTTTAGGAACTGTGCTTGTGGAGGGGGTCTGGGGGTCCCTGAGGCTTCTGCCACCCAAAGCCAAGAGCACATTTGAGCAGATTTTATTCTCAGGCTGACAGATGAGGGAGGAGAGGCTTTGGAGAACCAAGATGCTGGATGCTGGGCCCCAAAGGAACAACAAACCTGCTCTTGGATGGCATTTTCCTTTTCCCCTTTTAAATAGTTGGCTCCCTCTTTCCCAACAAATAAAATCATTTAAAAGGAATGGATAAAAACAGTCATGTTTCTGTTACTGCCCTGCTGGGAAGCCACTTCTGTATCTTTGGAGTTATGAAATCTCTTCTACTCTGCAGAGTCTGTGGGGAATCTGCACCTAACACCTTCCTACTTCCTACTTCCCTTCCAGCTCTGAACCCAAAGCCCTTCCAGACCCATCGAGTTGACATTCCATGCTCCTCTGCCAAGGTTGAAATAAGGCAGAGGGTCTAGACAGCTCACTTTGTAAACTGAATGAAGGAAAGAGCTTCTAGAAAAATCAACTCAAAAGGGCTCTTCTGGATTGTGTGTGTGTGTGTGTTTGTGTGTGTGTGTGTGTGTGTGTTGATCCTAGGGCTTGAACTCAGAGCCTGGGTGCTGTCCCTGAGCTTTTCACTCAAGGCTGGTGCTCTACCACTTGAGCCACAACTCTACTGCCTTTATGGTGGTTAACTGGAGATACGATTTTCATGGACTTTCCTGCCTAGTCTGGCTTCAGGCCATGATCTTCATCCCCCAGCCTTCTGAGTAGCAGGATTACAGGAGTGAGCCCCCTAGCCCCCAGTATCTTCTGGATTTTCACTAATAAAGAGGACCCATAGCTAAGAGATTGAGCTAGGTTAGAGGTGAATGGCTAACAACAGGTTAGACTCAGGTAGAATGACTTAGTGAGAGAGTAATTTGTATTTGTTCTTGTCTTTTTTCCTCACTTGTTCCTAGGAGGTAGCAGAAGCCAGCATGGCAGGAAGAAGTACTGAGGTGGTTGGTTTCTAGATCTGTCTTTAATTTTATTTTTTATTTTTGGTCAGTTGTGGGGCCTGAACTCAGCCTGGGCACTGTCCCTCAGCTCTTCAGCTCAAGGCTAGAGCTCTACCACTTGAGCCACAGTGCCACTTCTGGCTTTTTCTGCTTATGTGGTGCTGAGGAATCAAACCCAGGGCCTCATGCATGCAAGGCAAGCACTCTACCACTGAGCTACCTTCCCAGCTCCTTATTTTTATTTTGTTTCTCAGATGTCTAGCTTCTGAGGACCCAAGAGTTAGGTCTCTGGAGAGAACAGCCCCTCTCCCCTTTCTCTTCATCTGCCTGAAACCAGTAGTCAGCTGACTGTCTATCACTTAACTGTGAGCAATGGATCCCAGTCCTCATTTGCTGAGGTTATTTCCTGAACCACCCCAGTCACACCTCTTTCAGACAGTGAGAGGTTCCCCAGGCTCTGAGATCACTTCCACATATGCTGTGCTCCCGCCTCCCCCCTTTCCCTATATAATCTGGCTCGACACGAGTCCCCTCCTCTCTCTTTTTCCCTTTTTCTTTCCCCTCCATCTCAGTGGGCCTCCATTTTGTGTGGGCTGAATTATGTGGCAATTTCCTTTCCAGTGAACTTTTACAGTACAGAGAGAAGAGAGGGACAAAATAGGCTATTTGTTAACTGAGATACCTTGCGTATAGGATATATGGTATATGGTAGTCTACTGTCAAACATGTAATTAGTTAATGTAAAGATTTCTTATCAGACACATAATTAATATTATTCATCACACTGAAAAAATAATGGAGAAAGTCATTTGATTATGCAGAAAACATTTCAGAGAATTTGGAATCTAGTCACAAACATTTAGAAAATTAGCAACTGAAGCACATCAATAAACCAAACATGATGTCTACTGGTGAATTACTAAAAGCCTGCCATCCAGGATCAAGACCAAAACCCATTTTCACTAGTTCTATTCAATATTATATTGAATAATAGGCAAGAGAAGTTGATCAAAATAAAATAAAAAATAAAACTCTTTGTAGATGACAAAATTGTGTATTTAAAAAACATACATGGAAGTGGTGGCACAAGTGGTAGAATGCCAGCCTTGGGCACAAAGAGGCTCAAGGACAGTGCCTAGGCTCTAAGTTCAAGCCCCAGGACTGGCAAAAAGGAAAAAAAAAACAAAAAAAAAAGGAAACATACACTTAACATCTGTGGACAAAACATTACGATAATCAACCTAAGCAAAGTTACTAGCTCCAATATTATGATACAAAAACATTTATCTATTTATTTAGCAAGTCTTGGGCTTGAACTCAGGGCCTGGGCATTGTCACTGAGCTATTTTTCTCAAAACTAGTACTTTACCACTTGAGCCACAGCTCCACTTCTGGCTTTTTGGTGTTTAATTGGAAATAAGAATCTCATGGACTTTCCTGCCTGGGCTGTCTTTGAGTGCAATCCTCAGATCACAGCCTCCTAAGTAGCTAGGACTACAGAACAGAGGGGGGGGAGAGGGGGAAGAAAAAGAGAAGATGAGGAGGAGGAGAGGAGGAGGAGGAAGAGGGGGGGAGGGGGAGGAGGAGGAGGAAGAGGGGGAGGAGGAGGAGGAAGAGGAGGAGGAGGAGGAGGAGGGAAAGGAGTGTTGAGTTGGCTCATGGTTTAAGCAGTGTTTTGAAACCTTTGAGGTCAGATATAATGTCTCACTTTAAACTGCTCATAGCATTTGACTGCCCCCAGTACCAAAACGTGACTGCTGTCCAGTTAGCTTTTGTGACTAATGTAGAGTTCTGCAGAAGCACAGCCTGAGCAGGCCCTGGGGAGGGGGAATTGCTGGGAATTGAAGCTGAATGGAACACGGTAAGGATAGACAAGCTTTCTTGCTCTTGTAGAACAGGCTGCAAGCAGGAAGTGAAGGAGAGACCAAGCAAGCACTGAATAGGGCGAGCTGTTCAGAGGCAGGAAATTCCTCTGTCATGGGTCCTAGATAATACAACACCAGAGAAGAAAGTGGGCAGTTTGGAATGGCAGGAACAGCCCATCTTTCTTGGCAAGGTTGTTTGTTAAGCAGGCTGCAAAGCTCAGGGTAAATGGATTGAAAAGGACGTTTCTGAAGGCCAGAGCCAGGGTTGACAGGAAGTATGTCTCTGAAGGACAGCTAGGATTCTTCTGGGAGTAGGGGAGGATGAATGGCCCAGGAATCTTCTTTCTTTATCCCCTCTTCTCAAACTCTGAGGCAAGAAAGCCAGAAAGGGTCTGGGCATAGGGAGGAGGAGTTGGAATGTGGCTTGGAGCAGCAGCCTGGGAGCTAAAGGCTGCCCCACCTACACCAGGTAAGTCCTCTCACTCATGGCCTCTGCCTCCAGGTGGCATGTGCTAGGCTCCATCTTGGTTCAGTATCATGCTGACAACCCTCACCTTGATCTTGGCTAGCCAGTGGAGGGAATGAGTCCTTAGTGGTCTGACTGTGTTCCAGGCAGAGCTGGTAGGGCATAGCTCATCTCCTTGGTCCTCAGGCTAACCTGTTCCATGCCTTCCCTTGTCCTTCCCCACACCCAAGAGCAAGCATGGGCAGGGACTATTGCTCAACACATCTCTGAGGTCCTTTAAAAAGCCCAAGGTGCAAGAACAGTACCCAGGAATATGATTCAGAGGGTTTCCATGAAAATTTCAGAACCACTGAGAAAAATCAGACCCACACCAAGGAAGCAGGCAAGAGAAGCCAGGTGGCCACCTGAATCTGGTTTATTGTTCCAGTTTCTCCAAACTTAGCAGAACGGTGGATGAAGCCACTTGCGGGGGCAGCCAGGCCGTTCAGTGGGGCCAGCCAGTCAATGTATGTGGAGAGTCATAGTTCATCCACTGGAGTAAGACTCAAAATTCAGGAGACCTGGAACCCCCTCTTCACATCCTCCATGCCAAAGTCCCCAGGAGAGGCAGGATGTGGCAAGCATGGGTGTGCAGACCTCAGAAGAGGTAGGGGCAGCACAGCCGTAGGGTCCGACAGCTGTGGATAGCTCCATGGGGGCCTGGCTGGGGCCTCCGGAGGCTGCTGGGCCCCGCCCTGTTCACTGGAGAGAAGTTGGGATGCTGGGCCGGTTGAGATGGGTCAGATGCAAATAGGACCTTTCTAGGTCACCTCTCCCTGAGCTGTGCTATTTCCCATGGTCCCCAACCTCTGCTTTCCCCACTGGCATCCCTGGTCTGGACAAACTCCATCTCTTCCAGAAGAACTGACCCAGTGAGTGAAGCCCAGCACCCCGGCACCTCCCTGGCATGCTCTCTTGCCAAGAGCGTTAGCACAGTGTTGGGGTTTTCAACCAGCCCCAAGAAAGGGAGGTGAGGGAAACCCGTGGGGCTGAGGAGGGCTTGAGCACAGGGGTGGGAAGGCCTTCCCTGCTCAGCTCAGGGATTGAGGTCTGCCCACAGTCCTGTATCTCTTTGTGCTGCTATCCAGGGTATGAGTGCAAATCCCAGAGGGACCTCCAGTCCGGGCTCAGTGGGGGCAACACCTGTGGACCTGATGGGGAGAAAGGGGGAGAGATAGTCCTGGAGGAAGACTGGCTATAAGGGATAGGAAGCCACTGTCCTCCTCCAGGTCAGCTTGAGCCACTAGGGTGGGTTTTGTGCCCTGGCTAGTTGTATAGTGGGTCCTGAAAAGGGAGACCTGGACCCAGTTCCCCATCCCTACTAAGGCCTTTGAGAGAGAAAACCCATCCAATCAGCAGAAGAGGCAAGAGCCAGCCAGGTACCTACCGTCATTAGGAGTATGCCAGACCCTGGAGCCCCCGGGCTGGAGAGTGGAACTTGTCAGAATCCTCAAAAGACTGGTCTGCGGTCATCAAGGAGAAAGGGGCCCTAAGCCCTGTGCAGCTGGGTGATCTTACCTGTCTGTCTCTCTCTGCGCTAGAAACAGTAGGCAGAGCATACAGCATTTCTTATAGGCTGTCAGCTACTCCTAGCCTTGGTCCGGGGCCAACACAGCAGATGGAAAAGTGAAAGGTACCCCTCCAGGCTTCTGAGTCCACATCTTTCTTTTTTCTCCGGTCCTGGGGCTTGAACTCAGGGCCTGGGCACTGTTCCTGAGCTTCTTTTGCTCAAGGCTGGCACTCTACCACTTGAGCCACAGCATCACTTTCAGCTTTTTCCGAGTAGTTTATTGGAGCAAAGAGTATCATGGCCTTTCCTGCCTAGAATGGCTTTGAACGACCACCTTCAAATCTCAGCCTCCTGAGTAGCTAGGATTAAAGGTGTGAGCCACTGGCACCTGGCTCAGCCCATATTTTTTTCCTTCCCTCTGTGCCTTGGACACCAGGCTTATCTTCTTCAGAAGGCCTGGGTCAAGGTAAGGAAGCAGATGACCAAGGACTAAGTAAGGACGGAGGCCAGCCTCTGATCATTGACACATGTGCACAGCAGCAGCCTCCGGTCTGCAGTCCACATGTGTGAACTAAATGTATCCCCTCACCACTTCCCAGACCTGCCTAGCCCACTCTGTGCCTCCCTGGGCTGGCAGAAATCACACACACACACACACACACACACACACACGCACACACACACAGACACACACACACACACACAGACACACACACACAGACACACACACACACACAGACACACACTAGTGTGTGCTGCCCTCTGGTGGACACAGGAAGAAGGCAGGCACTCCATGTGAGTTCCTCCAGCTCTGAGATAAAAAAGTTGAGTCTCTTCTCTGGATGTGAGCTACCTAGGATGGTTTCTAGGCCTTCTCATTCTGGGATCTGTTTCTTTCCCCTTGGCCAGATGAGAGTGTCTAGAGAGAGTCTGGCACTTCTAGCTGTGAGGCTCAGGAAGTGGCATCCAGATGGGCTTTCCCTAGACCCCTTGCATGGGGGCACCCGTGAGAGATAGACAAGAGTGGGCCCCACAAGGGCACTTTTCCGGCCACTATGATGCAGCATGGATGGCTCACCTGTAAGCCCCTCTCCGTGGGCTCTGGGACAAGCCTGGGGTGGGGAGCTGGGTGGGCGCAGCACAGGGGCGAAGGCGCTCCTCTGTTTGACAGCGGAGATCATGTTGACAGGCGAGAAGGAGAAGACGCTGGTGGTAGGGGCAGCAGCCGGGAGGGACATGGAGGAGGCAGCCGCCAGCGGGGGGCTAGAGGGCATGACTCCGGGGCGGGGCGGGGAGGGGCAGGCGCAGCAGGGAGGGTGGTAGGAGACACAACAGGGAGACAGCACCAGAGTGAGCAGCGAGGTTGGGGTTCTGCATGGGGCAGCGGGCCCCTTATGGGCTGCTGACCACACTCCAGGCTCAGATCTCTCTGGGGGAGGTCTTGGGTCAGCCCTTGCCATTTTGGGGAGCTCTGAAGGCTGAAGATGGCAGGGTCAGACCAGGTGAAAACTAGACAGTAGGGAAAGCCCTATCTCATCAGAGATGATCTGGAGATGAGTAGGTTGAGATTCCTGCTGAGAACCACTAGGATTCGGAGGTGCAGACATACATTTAAGGGCCCTGGGTTGCCAGAGCTAGAGTGAACTTTCAGGGGTCATGACAGCAAGGGTGATTAGTCAGGGATGAAGTCTAGGGGCACATATAACTTTCTGTTAAAAAGTTTCTCTGCCAAGGCCCATACAAGCACCCAAATTTGTCCACAAATATGCTCTCCTCCCCAATACCCCTTGTTAAAGGTCTCTCTCTCTCTGCTTCCCTTCCTAGGATACTTGCCAGTTTATTGCTATCTCTGTCATCTCCATTCTAGACCACGAAGACTTACATCTCTCACCTCTAGCTGGCTAATTCTAAAGAAAAGCAAGGATGCTATAATGTCAAAACTTGCTATTATCCAATTCTATAGCCATTCAGGGCCTCAGCTTGCCTTGCTGGGAACAGCAAGAGAACTTTGTGTATACATGTTTACCTGCGCCATCTCCTGGAGGCTTTAAGCCTCACTCTAACTTTGATACAATGATGCTATCAACAGCTTCCAAAAAATGTCTTCAGCCTACAGTCACCATCTCCTTTAAGATAATTTACTAGTAGCTGGTGAGGTCATAGAACCCCAGGGAGCACTTGAAACCAATACTAGAAAATGTACTAGATTTCCCAAGGGCAGAGGTGAACACAGCCATATTTTGTAGCTTGGGTAGTAAAGGGCATGATGGGTCATTCTAGGGTTGCTGATGGCTGATGCAGAGGACCAAGTGGAGACTCCGGTAGATAGTCCCAGGCTTCTGGCTGGGGCAGTTCTAGCACTGTTTAGGAATGTTCTGGGAAAGTCAATGGAGAAGATACCCCATATAGTTGTGTCCAAGCATCCTGCACTGAGCAGTGGATAGGAAACTGGGTAAGTATTTGCCAAGACAGTATCATGAAGTGGGACTGGCCTCTGAACATGTCCATGGTGTCCTGGCTGAGACTGGATGTAGAGCTTAGGCAGCTCTGGAATTCTTGTTCTTGCTGTATGGGGAGACCGGGGGCGGTCTGGCTTCTATCCCTGGGTCAGTACCTTCCTCCACTGTGTATATAGGAAGAAGTCCAGGGGCAGGGGAGATTCAAATCCCAGTGAAAACTAGGAAGAGGCTGGAGGTGAAACAATAGAACCCAGCCAGAGCAAAGGGTGGGGCAGGAGAGTCATTGGGAGGGACATGGCAGGACTCTACCCCGTGTGGACTCTGGTTGATGGATCTTTGGATGCGTCTCCAGAGGGATATGCCAAGTTGAAAACCCTAGCCAGAAAGAACAGCACCCAGGATACAGGACTCTGGGAAGGAAAGTTAGGCAGGTCTGTTTTCAACAATGCAAACAGAGGACAAGTAAGGGAAAAGTGAGTGACCTGTAGACACAACAACCTGCTTCTTTGTACACAGCTGTCACTACTTTTGGTCTCTGAAGACTCCTGGACTTTGCGGGACAACCTCACCTGTGACTGATAGGGAGGCTTCTTGCCAGTGAGCAAGGGCAGAGCAATCTCCAAGCTCAGTGCATTGTAACGCCATAGGCACATAACCAATGCCTGATGAATTTCCATTGGAATTGCAAAATCCTGGAGGACCATGCAAAACATAAAACTATCTTTGGATGTCACTCACCCATGACATCAAGATGCCATCTATGTAGGTTTCTTTGGGGGGGGGGATCATATGGCTTGAACTCAGGGCTAGGTGCTGCCCCTGAGCTCTTTTGCTCAATGCTAATGCTCCACCACTTTGTGCCACAGGTCCATTTCCGGGTTTCTGGTGGTTAATTGGAGAGAACAGCCTTTCCTGACGGGGCTGGCTTTGAACTGTGATCCTCAGATCTCAGCCTCCTAACTAGCTAGGATTACAGGTGAGAGCCACCAGCATATGGCTACCCATTTGTAGTTCTGATCTGCCCTCCCCCAAGAAGCCAGAGGGAGGTTTCCACCTACAATGGAGGCTGGGCCTTCCCAACAATACATTGCTCCTGCATTTTGTCTGCCTCTTTATGCACAGCAGCACGTCCAGATCTGAGACCCGACTCAGGCAGGGGATGGAATTCATCCTTTCTTTTACTTTAGAAACTAAAGTTCAAAGAAGTAACTTGCTGAGTGTCAGACAGCTCCTGATCTGGGCACTCCAATTCTGAATACGGGTCTGACCACCCAGAACTTGCCCCTTGAGCCTGACTCCCCTACCGAGGAGGGCAGTCCTATCTACCACCGCCCACCTGGCAATGTCTGAGATTGCTGGGGGCGCGTGGGGGACCAGCGGGAGCCCTGAGTTTCCTGAAGCGCCCGGGAGGGGGCGCCAGTCTCCTTCCGAAGTCCCAGTGAAAACCCGAAAGGTGGCACCGGGTTTCAGCCCCGGTGCCCCGCAATTAAAGCAGGCTTCGGGAGGGCGCGCGGGCTAGAGGCGACGTGTGAAGGTGCAGTCAGCAAAGGAAGCTGAAGGTGCTAGAGAGCGTTTGGCCGTAAAACCCGGGACCGCCTGAGGTCCGGCGGCAGGGACAGGTCCCATGGCGCCCCGATGAGGCTGGCACTGGCGTCCCTCTCCCCATCCCCCCCCGCGGCGTCCCCACGGGCCGGGTCCCGTTCGACCTCCCCAGGCCTCGGGTCTCCCTCCCCGCGGGCGGGGGGACACTCACTAGCGAAGGGCGAGGTGGCGGTGGAGCCATTGAGGAAGCTAGGGGACGCGGGCACGCCAAGGCCGGCCACCCCCGGCGTGCCGTAGCCGCCGATGCCGGCTCCAAGCCCACTCCCGTAGCTGCTCTGCTGCGAGCCGGGGCTGGGCGCGAACCCGCGGGGGGACGTGCTGCTGCAGCTGCGGGCGTAGCCTGCGGGAGACCGGACATCAGCGGAGAGGCACTGGTAGAGATGGGGTCCGTCCAAGCGCCCCCAAAGATCGCAAGGCGCGGAGCGGAGGGGCGGGGCGGGTGAGACGCACCAGGCTCGGGCCCCGGCGTGGCGTCCCCGACGGCGATGGCCAGCGGGCTGCTGAAGGCGTTGATGCCCACCATGGCGGGGTGCCCGTGGCTGGGTGCCAGGGGTCCG